CTCAAATATACTGTCAGCAATTAGAGCGTTTGAACCAAGCGTTGAGGAAAAAAAGACCTGCTCTAGTGAATCGAAAAGAGGTGATGTTTCATCAGGACAATGCGCGACCCCACAAAGCAAGAATCACGTCACAAAAGATCGAAGAACTTGGTTGGGAGAAAATTCCTCATCCACCTTATTCTCCCGATCTTGTTACTTCAGACTACCATTCGTTTCCTAGCTTACAGAATCATTTGGAAGAAACAGCTTTTGTAACACAGGAAGAGGTTAAAACTGACATTTGTGAGTTATTCGAATCAAAGCCAAAAGAATTTGACAGTAATGGAATTAGTAAGCTTGTTAATAGATGGAAGGAAGTCATAGATAATCAGGGAAAATACATTGTTGATTGAATCTGTAATTAAATGTAACATTTGGTCACTTGTTTTCTTTATTCAAAATTCGGACAGAACTTATGGGATGACCTGATACATTGAATTGCTTACATAGATTGCATTTGCAGAGGTATATTTTACAACACTTAGCCTTTAAAGTTTTTATTAATAACCGTAAGAAGAAACTTTCTGTCGTAATTTTATATTTCACGAGTAGAAAAATAATGACTATTTTGAAAAGTATTTTGTTTATTATTTATAATCAATATTATTTTTTGATGTTTTATACACATATATATTTGATGTTCTAGTTTCTATAAAAACGACAATGGTAACTACTGAAATTACACATAAAGAAATAAATAAACTCCTGCATTTGGCAGTTAATGGGTTAAAGGTGTATATTAGGAATAACAGTCTCCTAGGAAGGTGTTATGGTCCAAGGTTAGGACCATGGAAGAACAACACGAAACACAACAGTAGAAATAACAAATAATATATTGCACAAGAAATGATACAAGAAGTGAAAAAGTTATTAAGAATGTCCGACTGGTTTGGCGTGACTGCTATCAGCTCGACTCGATTCAATACCGATATTTAACAGTTCCCCCACAAGGAATGTATATGGCACAAGGCCGAGTTTAACGTGGGTTTCTCCGAGCCCGTAGGCTCGGCCAAAAATATACCCTTTGAACTCGCCTAAACGGGTTCAGGTCCTGTCTACCTCCCCGGACGAAACTTTGCCTTTCGGCAAAACTTCGTCCGGGTTCCTCTCTGACAAAGCAGAGAGTTCGACAAAAGTCGCACACAGTCAGAGACTGCGGGTGACTCGATTCAATACCGTCTTCGTCTTTCTTGAGATGCGTAGTATATATAGTGTTAGGAAGAGTTTATTCTTGTCGGTCTAGGTAAGCACCATGACAGAAGGTCTCCTGAAAACAGTAAAATGTTTCATTGATGGCATCGGAATGAAAT